CAGAGCACTCAGTATCAAGCAGGACTCCCTGGAGAGTTGAGCAACGTTCGGCTGCTCCCCCAGGTTCCACGACCGCGCACGCCAACTCCAGCTCAAACAAGGTCCTATACTAGGGATCAAGGAGCAGGCCCGATGGACAATGGCAATAAGACACCTAGTTCGTCTAAAACCCCCCAAAATAAACAGTTCAAGCCAGAAGACAAGATTTCGTTTATTGCGAGTCCCAGCAATAATTTTGACGAGAGCCGGAAAGGGTCAATCACCACTCAAGATTTTATCAATGAAGCGACCAAAATTATGAACATCATACGCGCCAAAGGAGCCGCTCATAACGGTCTTTCCAGTGTGGAAGAATCCCAACGTATGAGTGATGGAAGCGACGAAGAGGACTATGCTGAGGAGTCGACTCAAGAGGAATTTTCCAGGCCCCCAAGTCGTGAAGGTATTGACCTGCGGAAATTCAGAGAACCTCGCCAGCAGAATCCACGGATAGTGAGCCATCTGAAAAAGTTTGAGGACAAAGACGATTTTGAACTTTACATGGGCGGCTCTGTGATGTCTCTGCACCTCGACAGGGACCGAAATGTAGCTACTTATGCTATTCATAGTGCAAAGCGTGATGAAGATTCGGAGGTTGAAAGTAGCCCCAAGAATATCAGGATAAGGGAGAAGCCATCTTCTCTGAAGAAAGCCAACACAACACCAAATGCCCCTGGGAATGCTGACTCCGATGATCGCGATGTATTATCTCACAAGTCCACTGAGGGTTCATTCCCGACCGCCTCGTCACGAGGATCTTCAAGTGGATCTGGTGCGAAGGGCATTATCTCTTCCGATATGATCGCGCACTTGATCCCAGAGCAGGTTGGTGCTATGACTTATGATCGATCTGCGCACACGTGGGTAAAAGGCGACACGGCACACTCAGAAGAAAGGCCTGTGTCGAAAGCGGGAGACGAATCCAGTGAACACGACCCTTTTGTGGATATTCCGGATCTTAGCGTCGATGAGTTGCAGGAACTCATGGCAGCAAAGATGTTTTCCTCGCCAGCTACGACGAAGGGGAAACTCCGTTCCATAACCGCCACGTTTGGAGAAAAGGATAAACAAGGCAAGGAATTCCAACAAAGCTCTGATTCCCGCCCACGTACTCGAGACGGACGCTTTGAAACCAGCTCGGTCCAATCAAAATCTACCCGCTTTACATCCAGCTGCCCCAAGCCAGAAACCAGAGCCACATCATGGGGAACCGAAGAACTAGCTGGAGCAGTTCCGCAGCAACCTGGACCTCCTCCTGCAAGCTGCTTGCGACGGGTTGATGAGTTGGTGCAAGAACCTGTGGATTGTGGTGATCAAAAATTCGGTAACGGAAAGCGTAATAGGACAACTACGATTTCGTTCTCTACTCCTTCGGTTTCCCGTGTCGAGTATGAGGGGCATGCGGACCCTATTGAATCAGAAGATCCTCCGCCTAGAGATACGCAAGGTAACTCTGTCACTAATGCGGTTCAGTCAGTCGCATTGCCGCAACCTTCTAAACAGACTTCGCCATCCAGGGTCTCTTCCCGGCGGGCTACCTCATTTGATAGTCGGGGCTTCAAGGGGCGGCCTATTTCTCGGATTGATGAACGAAATGAGGATTCTGCCAATGAAGCTGCGATTATTCCAAACCTGGATTTCTCCCTTGCGCAGATCCCAAGCCCTGAGGAACGCTCGATCATTCTACCTGATGGCCATGACATGGATACAAGTTACAGCTTTCAGCTCGCCCCGTTATCTGACTTTACCATGAACCAAATGGATGAATCTATGAGGCTCGAGGTTAGCTATGTCGCACAACGAACCCATCCTGCGTCTTTAAGGCAGGTACATGGCACATTTACATTGGCGACTGAAGACTTGATCAAACATATTACCGACACTGAGCCGTACGAGCCGTACTGGGAGCATCTGCGACGACTGAATCTGAAGGGGAAGGGTCTCATAACCCTGCATAGACTGAACGAATTTTGCTCGCGTCTCGAGGAACTTGACGCTTCCGACAATAACGTTGGTCAAGTTAGTGGTATTCCTTGGACAATCCGGAGCTTGAAGATTCCGCGGAATTGTTTGTCGAATCTGACGTCCTGGGGCCATCTCTCCAATCTCCAGTATTTAGACGTCTCTGGCAACAACCTAGAGGACCTGGATGCGTTCTCTAGTCTCATCCACTTGAGAAGCCTCAAGGCTAGCAGCAATAGGATCAGGAACATCCGTGGGATTATGGGGCTGAATGGGTTGCTGACCTTGAAGCTGAGGAATAATTCGGTCTCCTCGGTCGATTTTGGAGACTCAGAATTGTAAGTCTGATTTGATACGCAACAACAATCAATGTACTAATAAGCATTCAAGGACTCGTTTAATAAATTTGGACATGCGCGATAACCAGCTCTCCAGTGTCCGCAATATCGGATTCATCAAGACTCTCGAGAAACTCGACCTGCGCGGGAATCGGGTTCAAGAATTTGAGTCATCGGAGGTGCTTCATTGCCTCCATTCCCTTAAGCTGTCTAACAATTTGCTCGAATGTCTAGACGTCTCAAATTTCCCCAATCTCCATCTTGTCTATGCCGATGGCAACCATCTCAGCACTATTACAGGCCTTTACCAGTGCCATTATCTTGATGTCATATCTCTTCGCGAACAGACTCTCCCCTCCTCGCAGGGTGATGCTGATGAATTGCCTATCGTCTATATTGATATCAGCGCAACACTCTCGCTGCGAAAATTATATTTATCCTCCAACTTACTGTCCCCGGACCTCCTTTCCCCACCCAGCAGCGTCCCGAGCCTGCAGTTCCTAGACCTCGCATCGTGCACGCTAGAGGAACTACCAAGCGAATTCGGAACCAAGTTCCCAAACCTACGCGCGCTGAACCTAAACTTCAACGCACTGACCGATGTGGCCGAGTTAAAGGGGCTAACCCGGCTCGGTCGGGTTTCGCTTGTGGGAAATAGAATTTCGCGCCTCCGAAAATTATGCCAAGTCCTCCGCTCAGTCGGTGGCCGGTCGGGCGCATTGACCAGTGTCGATTTGCGCGGAAACCCCATCACAGTAGGCTTCTACCCCAGCCCAGTCTCGGGCAGCGGGCGCGTCTGGCGGGACGAGACGGGCAAGCTTGTTGGGCAAAGCAGGCGCCCGTCCAGCAAAGAGGAGAAGCAACTCCAGCTCCGCGAGGATGAGGATGAGGATGACGCGGGCTTCCCGACAGTAGGCGGCTGCACGGATATCGCGCGGAAGGGTTTTGGCGAAGGTGGGGAGCTAGACACACAAGACCGTGAGGGCCAGGAGGGGATTGAGGTTGAGATTGACGATCCGTACACAGTACCACCGGCAAATGTGGTTGCGGATCGGAAGTATGTGGTCCATCTTGACGAAGCCACCAAGTTGAGACGACGGGTGGTGGAGTTGATGGTGCAGGCGGCGGCGGCGGGGAGGTTGAGGGTGTTGAACGGATTGCCCACGAATAATGGCGGTGGGTGTGTGAAGAAAGATGATGTTTGGAGAAGATTGGAGGAGTTGGGAGTTTTGAAGAGGAGGGAAGTGTGAGTGAGTGATAGGGGGTGGCGTTTATGATTTGTCTTTTTGGGTGTTTCTCTTGGGGAGGGAGGGAGGGCTGCTTTGGCGTGTTATATTCTGAGATTTTGATGTACCCTCTTTTCCATCATTGTCGTTTTTTATTCTGGACTCTGTTGATTTGGGACGGGATGGGATGGGACAGGATGGGTAATGTGTTTTCGAGCCTGTATAGGTTTTTGTCTGGCTTCTTCATAATGCTGCATTTTGAGCTGGTTGTCCTGTTGATTTTTTGTAATTCTCTGCTTTGATTACAGCGTGCAATGCAATGCAAGTGTATGGCATGATCAGGTTCTATGCGGTTTATGTTGTGTTATTTGATGGTCTTTTGACTGGGGGTTCATTGGCGATATGTAGTTCCGACCAGATCCTTTACCGTCGCGTATTTAGCCATGACCAAGGACAAGGCATCCATCCTCCCCTTGACCAGCTCTGACTTCATAGACACCTTTCTTCGCATCCGGGAGCTTCCATCTCCCTTGCCCATGACATTCCCGACTTCGCACGCATCCCGCCAGAGGGAACATACATCAGAAGAGCGACGAAATAACTCTCTGCTAAATACCAATCGTACGAGCTAGCAGCCGGAGATTTTCCGATGCATGCATGCATGCATGGCTGCTTGATTGAGAGGGAGGTGGTATTTCCATATATCCATTGAATGGGATTCGGGATCTCAATTGCTCCAGTTGCATGGGAACCTCATGTACGGATTCCTTCCCGTTGGATGTTATTGCATGTTCTAAATTTGGTTGGGTTGGGTTGGATGAAGCGGCGAAGATAGATATATTGCTAGGCTCCTATGGTACGTTGTATTATTCCGAATAAAATAAATAAACCAAGCAGGTACAACACCAAGCCATACAGTAGCTGGACAGAATCTCCAAAGTCCAAGAGCTTACTATTAGGGTGTGTTCAGTGCCAAAGGGTTTTGGATCATTGAATGGTTTTTAGATCATCTTCCTTGGCAGATTACCTCTTTAAGTCTAGCTTTCTTGTATAATTCTTCATAAATCCACTTAAATTACAATAAAATACCAGTTATTTGTTCTGGGTAGTATACCCTAAATTAGTGTAATAGGTGGAGACACTAAACTTAACTAAGTAAAGTGATTAATCTAAAATGACTAAAACACCAATAAAACAGAGCTTTTCCAAAACCTTCTCAAGAGAAGGTTATTACAGATCTTGGTAAAGATTCTTGTATCTCCATGTATGTAAAAATACATCCCCACTATTTCCTACCTTTCAATGATCTAAAACCTGTTGGCACTGAACACGCCCTTAGTTAATAATAACCAGTTACTTATCATACTTACCAGCTCCGGAATCCATGTCAGGTTACCTCATCATGCCCAAACCGCCCGCCACATCCATCAAAGCCGGTCCTGTGGTCTAGTGGTATGATTCTCGCTTTGGGTTCCCAGCTAGTCCGGAAACGGCATGGCTGACTAATCTGGCATGCGAGAGGCCCCGTGTTCGAACCACGGCAGGACCCTGGTGATTCTTTTTTTATTTTTTTGATTTGGTAACTATTTTTGAGATCTATTTTTTATGCTTTGCTTGTACCTGGTGTATGGATGATGTGCTTAACTAGCCACAGCAGCAGGGGCTGGGGGCACTTGGCAATAGTGGACATCCTGCTGCTGGATAGATGGACAGTGCCGGTCAAGGCTTAACCCAGCAGCGATGAGCAGGCCCCGGACAGCGCGTGGGAACAGGCTGGCGGGCGATTGGTGGCTGGTAATTAATTTAGTCGAGTGTGCAGCGTTGCTAGATGAGACGCCGACGGCGTGGTGGATATCAGGGCCGTGATTGAGAGATAGAATATTTATTAACTATGCGGTATATATCTGAAATCGACAGCAAGAATGCGGTGGAATTGTTGCATCATCGTCCGTCCACAGCTGTCTGGTCCACCTGCCCAGCCAGCCAGATCCGGCAATCCCAACCACCATCCATCCTATCTCCAACTTCATCTCCAACTTCACAACATCCACAACCACAACCACAACCACACCACCACCACCTCCCTCACCGCATCCCGTCCTCTCCTCGCCCGCCCGTCGCCAATCCCTGCCCTCCAGCCACGCCTCTCTAGCGTTGAGTTTCCTCCCGTCTGCCCGCGTCGTTTCTCCCCCCCGTCCAGCGTCCGAGGCCGGCCTGACCAATGTCCTCCCCATGTCAACCTTCTCCTCCGCTCCCGTTGATTCCCCGTCCAGAACCCTGGTGACACCTGCTCGTCCTGCCCACTGCGATTCGAGCCATGCTGCCGACCATGTGCCGTCGCCCGCTGGCCCGCCCGCTGCTCCCCGCACCACGCCGCCCACGCCCTCGCCCTCCCACTCCAATCCCGCATGGTTAAAACCCTCGCCTCCCTCGCCGTCCTGCTTCTCTCTCAAGCGCACGAGCACCGCGCCCCTCGAGCAGCCCCGTCCCTCTGCTGCCACTGCCGCCTTTCGTCCGCAGAGCCCGCAGCTGTCGGAGCGCGAGAGTATCTTTGCCACCCACTATCTGCCGTCCGACAGCGATGTAATCTCTCCGCCCAGGGACGTCGGACGAGGCTCTCTGCTTCGCCAGCAGCTGCAGCAGCAGCAGGCCACAGGAGGCACAGCGGCAGCGGCGCCCGACCTCGCCCAGGAGCTTCCACGCCGGCACGATGAAGCTGGCAATGCGCCTTCTCCCCCGTCTCCCTCGACCGATCCCGCGCGGAAGGACAGCAGCCCGTCTCGCCTGCCGCCGCCGCTCGCTGCGATGACAGCTGCCTTCCCTGCCGACATCGAGACTCCGCCCAGCCCCTTCCGCCCTCGCATTTCCAGCCACCCGCTGGCCAACCCGCCTTCCTTCTCGGGCATCGCCAGAGCAAGGACCTTTGACTCGCTCGACGACGTCTCTCCGTCCTCCCCCCAACCCCCCAAACACCACCCTACCGCCATACCACGTTCTGCCCGGCCAATGGATCGGGACAGTGTTAGGACCATGACCACCTCCGCCGTGCCACCACCACCTTTTGACCCTTTCCAAACGTCCTCTGATGCCGACCATCGGGATCGTCCCTCGCAACGTAGCACAAGCAAGAACAGGCCTTCACGGACAGACGCCTCCATCGAAGCCAGCCTGGCCAACGCCGAACCCGCTGCTCATGTGCGCAGTCGGAAATCGAGCCACTATCTGGGCCTGTTCAAAGAGAACACAAAGTCTCCCGAGCGCAAGAAGCGTGATGACCGCGTCGGGGAACGCACGGCTAAAAATCAGGAGCGTCAGTTCAGTGACATGGGTCCGTCGTCGGCCAAACCATCGATCGAGCAGAGAGCCCTATTCCCTAGCCCCGAAGCGCCTTCCCGATCTCAAGTCTTGCTTCTTCCCTCCGGTGTTTCGGAGCCTCACCAGCTGCAGAGGGACGAGGATGCCGAACAAGAAGAACTCGACACCGCCGCGACGACCCCTACGCGCCGGGATCAACAGCCCATCCATATTGATATTCCTGAAGAGGCTAGGATAGACAAGTGGAGGAGGGTCCCCGCTGAGCTCCTGGACGAGATCAAGAATTATCGTCCCCACACTAGTGAGTATGCGTCTTCGACCCGGAGCATGCCAGCCCCGATTCCAGATCGAGGATCTATGGTGTTTGGGTCAGATGCCGCCTTGAGCCAATCGCCCGAGTCAGACACTACCCAGCGCCTCATTCGCGAAGGCTCCGAAAGCTACGAGGACGAGGAACGCATTTCTTCCGCTCTATACTTTCCACACCAACGCTCATCGACTGACGATGTCGAGCGGCCCCAGTCTCCGGAAGCGCCTCTTGAAGCGGAAGTCGAGGGGCTCTCGTTAGAAGAAGGCCTCGAGATGCCAACGAAATCTACGAACCATGTGGACATCTCATTGCATTCTGAAAAAGATACCCGTCTCCTTCATGGCGATATTCACCCCGCCGAAGAACCCTCGTTGGCTACAATATCTGAGCTTGGAGCTGAAACAGCCTCCGAGTCTGAATTTGGCTCTGCTGATGAAAGCGGCCTCTCTGCTCGCGAAGAAGAATCGAGCCTGACAGACGATGCAGGTGCCGTCCCGGCTCTCCCACGTCCTAGACGTAAACATACCCATGTGCCTGCAGCTCCCCTGGGTGCTGTTGAACTGAAACCCTATAGACATCAAGTTGGCGGACACACTACGGTGTTTAGATTCTCCCGGCGTGCTGTTTGTAAACAACTGAATAACCGTGAAAATGAATTCTACGAAAGAATTGAACGCCGGCATCCGGAGATGTTGATGTTTCTTGCAAGGTTAGTATTTTTTTTTCTTTCTGTGGTGTGACTTACAACGCTGCCCTTCCACATGTGCCACGCTTCGTGGATTGTTTAGCTGAATCCTCAGCCAAGATCCATCCGCGCCGTCTCAACGTCTCAGGCCTTGTAGATGTAATGCTAATGTGGTGCCTTTTCCATCCCGGATTGTAGGTATATTGGCGTCCTCAACGTAACATTTTCCAAAGGCCCAAAGCGACCAAAGAACAAAGTTGATGTCGCAAACGGAACTACTACCCCTGCGGCAACCGGTACGGCTGACAAGGGCGAAACACAACGGATTGCGAATGGCGCCAATGGCACGAATAGCCCCAGGATATTCAGCCAATCACAGGTTACAGGGGTTATCCCGAAGGTGATCTTGGAGAATAACCGGCATATTATTCCATTGGATCTCTTTACCTCCCAATCTGCAGACAGTCGGGATTCTTCCAGACTCCGGCAAGCATTGGTTGGTGAAGATCCCGCGCCAAGTACTCCGCCAGCTTCTAGCCCCATTTCCCATTTGAAAAGCTGGGGTGCAACGACCGTGAACACCAAATTGCAGGAACAGGTGCTTCGGGAAGTTTTTGCACCTCCGACAATACATCATCACCGTCGTCATGGTCGTGGACATACGTCCTTGTCGAAGCTGCGGCCGGATAGTTCTAGAAGGCGTAGCCAAATCACTCTGGACCGTCCCTCTAGTCAGGGCGATAGTGTTGGTAGGCTGATTCGCGAAGGTTCGATGCCTCCGCTCTCAACTAAAGGGAACGACGACCGCAAACAGTCTAATCTATCGTCATCTGCCTCGACCGTTGTGAATGGAGACGGTAACCGGTTGGAGAAAATCAACACTGTCGATTTCCCCCACCGTCCAACTCCCCTGCAGTCGACGACACCTCGGTTACGGCGGCGTCATTCCGGTAGCGGTCTAGAAAGGAAACGCAGCATGAGCAATAGCCAGCCTGGCGATCTCCTGTATTTCGAGGATGATGGATATGGTGGAGACAAGGAGGATGAGATTTTCAGGATGGAACCAGAACCGTCGTCGACGCCTGCTATTACGGATTCTACTATGATCATTGGCGACTCGTCGCCTAGCCAAGGAGGGTCTACTTCGGAAGCTACCACGCCTCGTCCAACCAAAACCACCTTCCCGGTCACCCTCGAAACCCGAACCGGAGAACCAGTCCGTCTGCCTATCAACCCCAAGGAAGCGCAGACAATGCGCGATGAACGGGTTCAGTTTTTCTTGCTTCTGGAGGACCTGACTGCCGGGATGAACAAGCCGTGTGTGCTGGATTTGAAAATGGGAACTCGCCAGTATGGGATCGAGGCTGACGAGAAGAAGAAGAAATCTCAGAGACGCAAGTGCCAGACCACGACCTCGCAGCAACTGGGAGTCCGGCTTTGCGGCATGCAGGTCTGGAACGTCAAGAAGCAGGAATACCTTTTCGAGGACAAATATTTCGGTCGTGACCTTACCGCAGGAAGACAGTTCCAGGATGCACTGACTAGGTTCTTGTACGATGGTGTTAGCTACGCCAGCGTCTCCAAGAAGATCCCCATTATTCTAGACAAGCTTGCTCGCCTGGAAACCATGGTACGGCGACTGCCTGGTTACAGACTTTACGCCAGCAGTCTCCTGATTTTATATGATGGAGAAAAACCGCCGCCAGAAAAGGCAGAACTTGCCGCTGAAAAACCAAAAGACAAGGACTGCGCGAAAAAGGCCAAGGAGGATGGGCATAACAATATGAGCTTGGAGCTCAAGATTGTGGACTTTGCCAATTGTATTACTGGTGAAGACGGCATCCCGCCCGATGCGCCCTGTCCACCTCACCACCCGCAGGATATCGATCGCGGCTACCTGCGCGGCCTGCGTTCACTGAGGATGTATTTCCAGCGGATCTTGAAAGAAATCAACGACGAAGATTATGTTGAGCGAGGTGAAGGAGAAGGCATGGCACTCGGACCTCGCAGTGCAGACCGGGAGAGCGGAGTCAATGGGTTCTGGGAGGAAGGGGTGATGGATATTGACCCAGGCGAGGTCAGTGTCTGATTTGTGGATTATGCCGCAAGGATGGGTTTGTTTATTTGCGCACCATACACCGTACGCGAGGATTATGTATGGCGGTTACTTTTATGTTCTAGCGATTTATCTACATACTCACTTGTTCGGTCCTTTTTCCGTTTGTCTTTGTTATGGGCG